CATATTTGCACCTTTTGTTTTTTCCGTTAAATTCTGATATGATGTGATGAGAAATTCTATTTCGGGATTGACAATCAGTACAACAATTTATATTGATGTTGTGATGCAAAATTATATTTGGTAATTCATAAGCATTACAACAATTTCTATTGATGCTGGTTATATACAGAAGATGAACTGGGGGAATTTTTAAATTTTTTAGAAATATTTTAAAGAACAATCCTAAATTTAAATTCATTCCTATCTATAGGAAAACTTAACTTCCAAGTTTTAGCTCTTGACAATTTTCTTTCGAATATGAACATAATCATGACAAATAAAGATCATATAACAGCAACCAAACAAGCAGCCTCAATTTCTTCTATAGTAAATGTTGTAAATACTGTAATAACTTTTATACAGAGTAGTAACACTGTTTTGAAGAATCAGTGTTAATACTCATTCAAGTTTCAACAAATGCTGTGAATCAGTATTAACAAGTTTCAACAAGTTTCACCATTCAACAAGTTTCACCATGAACATCAACATCAACAAGTTTCAACATTCAACATCAACATCAACATTAAATATTTAACAAGTTTCAACAAGTTTCACCATCAACATCAACATCAACAAGTTTCACCATTTAACAAGTTTCACCATTAAATACTTCAACTTCAACATCAACATCAATGTTAAATATAGCAGCTCAGAGGCATCTCCTATGCATGAAATTTGAAGTGCCTTCCACCTGTTCATGCCCATCCAAACCCTGAAAAAAAAATCAGCACCAAAACTATACTTCAGTAGCACAACATGACGGTATTTATGCACCAAAAAAATGACCAAAATACAGCAGCTCAACAACACAAATTCAGCACCAAAAAGAGCATTTCAGCAACACAAAATCAGCACCAAAACTAGCATTACAGCAGCACAAAATCAGCAGCAAAACTATATTTCAGCAGCACAACATGACAGTATTTCAGCACCCAAAAAATGACCAAAATACAGCAACTCAACAACACAAATTCAGCACCAAAAGGAGCATTCTAGCAGCAGAAAAACCAACATAAACAGTACCAGATTAGCATAAACAGTACCAAATCAGCAGCAAAAGTACCTTAGTATATAGCAGCAAATTATTTGTTGGCCGAGAACCTGTCTGTGAGCCTTGAGAATCTTGAAACCTAATGTCATACCCACCTTGAAGCATTGTCATAAATGTTGGTTATCCACAATATGCCAAATTGTTTGCCTGCAATACATTCATATTATATTACGATTCATAACAAGATGCAAATGGAAAATTAATTGACAAAACACAAATTAGTTGGCTAAAAATTTGACTCACATTATATGTGGGATATATTAATGGAGGAGGAATTGTACCACCCATGGCAATGGAATGAGGATGAGGAGGGGGAGCATGAGGAGGATGAAGAGGAGTAACATTTTCATGAATACTTACATCTCCTCCAATAGATAGAGAAGGTCTCACTGTTGGAGCAGCAACAGGTTTTGAAGAACTCACAAATTGTGCACGAGACTTCTTTTTAAAGCTTGCTTGCAATGCCAGCTCACATGGACCTTTTATCCTTCTTTTGCCCTTACTAGTTGGATGTTTTTTCTTCAATCCTATTGGAATTTGCACAACATGATTGTTGTCTTCAGAAGGCACTTCCAAGGTTTAAGGTTGATCATTAATACTTACTTCTTTTTCGGGACAAAAATGTGCACTTATCTTGCTTTCAACATGTGCACCTAATGCAGCGACTTGTGAACAACAAAAATCACAAGTTTTTTCAGTTTCAGCAGCTCTACATGTTATTGATCTAAATGCGATCATCAATGTTTTATACTGTGAGGCTTGTTTGAATTTGACATCTACTTGAATCTTATTCCCGAACTTGTCCGTCACAGCTTCTCCTCTTGCTTGTTTGGTCCACTTCTTCATAATGTATTGTAAAGGAATCTCTTTCAACTTCAATATTTCTCTCATAACCTTCAAACAGTGATTGCACAAAATCCCTTTCCTTTCAAACTTTGAACAACTACAAGCCAAAGAGCCATCCATCTCCATTTTCACTTTCCTTGCATTTTTCCCAATAGCATCAACAACTGTGTATAGGCTACAACCATCAATGTATTCAATTGCTTGTATGTCTGATTCAACCGAAAGAAAATACTCATCTTGAAACTCCTCAAAAATATTTTAGTGTACACATTACCCATTTGACTTAACATTATGAATAGCGCTCTCACCCTTGGTAACCTTTGGCATAAAGCATATCCAGCTTCTAACTCCTTGTACCTCTTCTCACAAAGTATCCTTTCAAAATGCATGAAGAATTCATTTAAATTAAAATCAGAACGAAGGTAATCTTTCAAAAACATATTAAAAGATTCACTAAGTTGTGTTGTACTCATTCCCGCAGCCCATGTTGATCTAACATATGGCCAGCCCCATTTTTCCTTCACCCCAAAAATCAACTTCAACCAATGATTGTCATGAGCATCATATGTATCAAGCATTTCCCCCCACTTCATTTCCCATTCATTTTCATCCTTAATATCAAACATGAATCTATTTAATACACCTTTCACCCCCTTATCTTGAAAGAGACAATTACCATGTCTTAATGCATTTTGCATCAAGTGCCAAGTGTACAAACGGTGACTCGTGTCAGGTATGACAATGGGTATGGCCTTAGCCATTGTAGCATCTTGATCGGTAAACAAAGTTTTTGGTGCCTTTTTGGACATAGCCTCTAAAAAGTTTGAAATAACCATACAAATGTTTCGGCAGTCTCATCATATAACAACGCAGCACCAAAAACAACTGTTTCTCTATGATGATTAAATCCCACAAAAGATGCAAATGGCCTATGCTCTTTATTTAACTTGTAGGTAGTATCAAATGTAACCACATCGCCAAATTGGGCATAATCCATGACCATTTGTGCATCGGCCCAAAACATATTCGTTATTTGCTCCTCATTGTCTAATTGGAAAGCATAAAAAAAAAGATGGATTCTCCAAAGATTTTTGTTGAAAGTATTGCAACACATTACCTACTTCCCCATACGCTAAACTTTTTTGTCGTTTGATTTTCAAGTAATTTTTTTGATCTAATTTCATAAAACCAAGAGACTGCCTCCCTCCAGCTTCCCTACCCATCAGTTCAAAAGACTGCCCTAAACGAAGACCAGACTCTAAGGCTAAGTCTAAGTCTAACTCAATTGCTTGGGTATCTGATATCTTTCTTTGCGATGGCAACATATGGGCACAATCAAGAGATACAAGTTCATGGTTGTGTTTTTCTTTGAAATCAATCACAACAAATTTCCCACTATTGACATCCAATTTAACAAAAAGTCGGGCCTCACAACCAGTCCTAGTTTCAGTTCTAAGGATTTTTGTCAATGGGTCTCGCTTGTCAACCTTTCGAAATCCCTCTTTGTTGCAAACCAAATTTCTAGAAATAATTTGTTTTGTTAACTTGTTCTTCTTACAATATTCCCTTCTTATGCTAAATCCCATGCTTCCTCCATATGCATTATAAAAATCGTACGCACCTTCTTCCGAATCAAAGGTCATTCCTTCTTTTGGCTTCCAACTACAATCATTATCAGGTTCCATATCCATATAAAAACGCAACTGAAAAGTAGAGGCAATCAAATGGGAGAAGTATCAATACACAATAATAAAGTGATTAAATTTTTTTTTTTTGGGTAAAAATGTTCTGTTTCCTCTTGTTTTCTAAATATCATGTACATGCTTTAAGAAAGAATGTGTACTTGTAAATTGTTTCAAGTTGAAAAAATTAGTACAAGATTGAACATGACAGGATAAAATATTTGAGCTCTATATTTATAGAAACTAATATAGAACCTGAATTGAAAAATTCGGACAAACATAGAAGCTAATAAAAGCTTAGAATCTCAAAATACTTTTACTATTTCCATTCTATCAATGCCATTTGCTAGAGAAAAAGAATCTTAATCCAGTGTGTCCGATTGACAAATTCCAGTCAATATGTTGTTCCAGATTCTCATCTCGTAACAAAGATAAAGATATATATATATATATATATATGTGTGTGTGTGTGTGTGTGATGCTAAATAATTTTTGAGACACTCAGTTATAGCTAAAAAGCAAATTATAAGCATTAAGTATATGTCGTAAATGTATTGCTATATCTATACATAGTTTCAACCACCAACACTTTTTACAGTTTAAATTGGTCATGGAATACAACAAATAAAACATCTATGTATTGCTCACTAGTTAGAAAAATCAATGTAGTTGCAGACAATAGCAATGTCTCCAGCCATGACAAACCTGTGCACTGAATCTTTTGTTCCTGGTAAGGAAAACTTATATGGGGAAAAATTAAGGAAAACAAATTGGTCATGGAATACAACAAATAAAACATCTATGTATTGCTCACTAGTTAAAAAAATCAATGTAGTTGCAGACAATAACAATGTTCCCCAGCCATGACAAAACCTATGCACTGAATCTTTTGTTGGAGAACTTATATGGGGAAAAATTAAGGAAAACAATATTACCTTCAGTTTGATGACTAAGTGTAGCTCTAGTTTGCGGGGTCGCCGGAGCTTGGTTCACCGTCGATGTTTGTCGTCGATCGTCCTCGATGCTCGCCATCGACTTCGCCAATTGCCAGAGCTTGGAAGAAGGAGGGAAAAAGAGTTTCGAAGAGGAGGGAAAACAGACTCGTGAATGGAGGGAAGCTTTGTACTGGGTCGAAATGAACGAAATTCAAATTATTTTATTTTATTTTATCTGAGCCATAGATCTTTATTAAGTCACGTGGTCAAATCGTGACCCTTGACCGGAGGACCAGAGGGAGTCTTTGACCGGAGGGGATCCGGACTCGATATAATGATATAATTTACCATGATGATATGATATGTTGATGATGATGATATGATATGTTGATGGTGATATAATGACAGATTTGACTTGCCGTCTTCGTCGTGACGTTGGCGGTTTCTTCTCCCAAACTATATATACATATAAATTTATAAATTGATTGAAATCAAAGCAGCGTCGGTTGCATCATTCCTATTTCTCTCTCCTCCGAAACTTCCTCTCTCTCTCTCTCTCTCTCTCAACGTTTGACAACATTTGAGAAACATTAGATTAGATTAGATTCAGATCTGTTCGTCTCAAAACGCAGAAAGAGAGAGAGATTGAGAAATCAATTCTATGGCGGTCGTGTCACCTCTGGCCAAATACAAGCTGGTGTTCCTCGGCGATCAATCCGTCGGCAAGACCAGCATCATCACTCGTTTCATGTACGACAAATTCGACACCACCTATCAGGTCAATTCTACTTCTTAATTACTGTTTTCTTCATCATCTCCAATTCACAGAGTAATTCTCTTCGGATTTGTTGCTTCAATCCGTTGATTTGATTGATTTTCAATGAGTTTTTTTTTTTAAATTATTTATTTATTTTATTTTGAGCCACTAGGGCTTGTTTGTGATTCTTGGGATATTGATCAATTTTGTTTTTTATAAAGTTGGTCGTGGATACGGGGAGGCCTTGCATTATTTGAAAATGCTTGATTTGGAAGATAGATCATATTTACTTTTCTATGATTATTGGTGATCTATGTTACATGGACTCGGGCAGGAGTATCGGGTGTTTGTGCAATTGTCAGACTTTTATAAATTGAAATCTGTGTCTTGGCTATTGGATATGAGTATGGCGGCATACATTTTAATTTTATATAATATTTTCAAATATAATTTATAAATTATATAAAATATACTTGAAATTGAAACATAAATATTGCTTTAGTAGTAAATATGAGTTTCTTTTTCTCATATATTGTAACAAATTAAATGATCCGAGTGTTTAAATTGGATACAAGTGTCAGTCATATATCCTACACCTTTACCCATGTCATATCTGGGGTATTGTGAGAGAAATAGAAGAGTCTATGTGACACTGTTGGTGACTAAGATTGTATTTGGTTGGAGGATTTAATGAGAGAAATAAAAAGAAAAAATGAAATGCAATCCCACTTGTTGTTTGGTTATAATGGAAAACACATGAAAAAAGAAAGCCAAAGGGAAATGCAATCTCACCTTTTTGTCTTTTGAATTCGTTTATGCACTTTTATTTCTCTATTTCCCAACTCAACCAAACATAGCTTGAAATTCGAATCCTATAATTTTTTCTCATTTTCTTTCTATTTCTATTTCCCTTTCTCTTTTCTTTTTTCTCATCAAATCCTCCAACCAAACGCAGCTTAAAAGTAGGTGATAGTGTGTAACATGGTATCTATATAGAAATCAGTGTACCTTGAAGGATTTCCTATGTTATAACTTATATTTGAAAATGGATCTAATGTTTGGCCTTCCGTAAAGTTATAACAATATATTATTCCTGTGGGTTCCTTAAATTGTAATAGAAATAATATCAAATTATATTCTTGTAAGTTGTAATACTAACATAAATTCGTTCCTAAGTTGTTGTGTTTTGTGTGTTTTTTTTTTGTGGATATATATATAGGTAATGTATTTGTTAATTAATCTACTCATTGAAATTTCAACACCCAAGGTCATGTATTTTGAATAACCGTCACCCAAATCTTGAATACTCAACTCACTCATTTTATAAATCGTAACCCACCCCACAACCTAGTCACAATCTCTTTTAATTTTAAATGTCATACCTTCATCCAAAATATTAAATAACCAGAAAAAGTTCTCAAAAAGAAAATTGTTATAATATATATTTGAAGTTGGGGCGATGTGAGTCACAGTCATAATGTATTTATATACATATATATATATATATATATTGATATTTAAATAAAAGATTGAGTAGTTTTTTCATATTGAATTATTTTTAGTTATTTTTATTATTTTTGTTTGTTTATGGATAAAGATTGGCAAATAAAAGTTGATCGTTTAATTAATAATTTTTATAATTAACTAAAAGGGAATAGAGAGAAAGCAGTTGAGGAAATTTTATAACTGGACAAGTTAAATCGGTTAACTTTGTTTGGATGTACCACAAAAACCAGTAAGTGCCCCGAATAGGAAATATGACACTGGATACATTGAGGGATAATGGTAGGGGACAAGGGAGAATGAAATCAACTTCCATTGAGATAATAAAGAAAGATATGTTACATTGCAATTTAATTGATACTAGTGTTTTAAAAGGCTCTAGGCACACTGAGGCGATAAGGTCTCCTATAGCCTAAGTGTGAGGCGTGCGCGAGAGGTGAGGCGCAAGTAGGAGAAGAAAAGCAAAATTATAAAATAGCAAACTTTTCAACATAACAAATATATCTAGAATTCCAAAAATCATAAACCAAGCTTCGCAAGCATAACTGAGAAGAAAAAACAAAGAGATAACCCAACGAAGAAGCAAGAGAAGAAAAGATGAAGAGAAGAAAAATAAAGAAAGAAAAAACAAAGGCAAACCCACGAAGAGATCCTATCCAAAAAGAGAAGAAGAAAAATAAAGAAAGAAAAAACAGATGTAGAGAGATAACCCAACCATTAGAACCCATTGAAGAAGAGAAAGAGAACTGTTGAAGACGAAAAAAAAATGAAGAAGAAGCCGAAGTCGTATCGTCTTCTCACTTTCTTATCACTTTTTTTAATCTTCTCCACCCAAGATTTTTTTTAATCACTTTCTGCTCTCTTTTGACCACGTATGGTCATTTTATATTGAAGAGTTTTGATCCCTGTGGGTATGCCCACAAAAAAAAATTTAATCAACAATTGGAGTAGAAAAATAGGTAAAACCCATGAAGCCCGCGCCTTGTGCCTTGAAAAAAAGTCCTCATCTCAGCGCCTAAGCTGCGCCTTGCATATTGTGCCTCGCCTTTTAAAACACAGATTGATATTATGTTCCTTTATCAAGTGGATGGGAGAAATAATATTCATGTAACTAACCCCAATGAGGTAGGAAAAGGTTTTGTTGAGCTTTTGAGTTTGTGTTGAGTTGACATGGCAGCAGGTGTTTTGGTTGCAGAATCCTGCTTGCCTTTTCCATTTTTCATGTATGCTGCTATTGAGCAAAAAAATAAATGTTGTGCACACAGCAATACATGTGATTTAGAGCAATACAGGTTTTTTGGTGGAATTTTTAATTCATGCAAATCATGCCACAACTTTTGCTTTTCTTTTATTTATTTATTAAATTTTTTTTGGGGGTTGGGGGTGATTAGGGATTGGATTTGGTCTTCCCTACCTTATTTTCAGGAATGACGTTAAAAACTAAATATTCTGGGATTTTTTGAAATTCCATCTGTCAATTACAGCAAAATTGATGAGTCTGATCAGTCTGCGAACAAAGGAAGCAAAGAACTATAATTTTTTATTTATTTCAAGTTTTTGACATAGCAATTCCTTAGATCTATATAATGCCAAGGGGAAGTAGCAAATAAATTTCTGTCATTAAATTTGTTAAGGAGTAGATAATTTACACACAATTTGGTAGACTGCATTCTTACTTTTGTCATGAAGTTTCTGAACCTGAGATGTTCTTAATTTCAAATTGATACCACTTTGAGGTGGCAAGCCTAGTTTTTGCATTAGATGTTTACGTCTTGGAAAAATTACTTTAACTTGCAGTGCCTTTCATCATTCACTTTGGTCATTCTATGATATGGTTCAACTACATCATTTGTTTCTTCGAGTTGAGTTTTCATATTGGTTTGAAGCTTTTGCTAACTTTTTGGCAATTTGGATTGCAGGCTACCATTGGCATTGATTTTCTGTCAAAAACCATGTATCTTGAAGATCGAACTGTCCGGTTGCAGCTTTGGTAGGATGTCTTTCTTTTCATTATATATTCCAGATAAGAAAGATATATTAACTATGGAGATTTTGTCATGATAATGTGGATTTAATATGACGTTACTTGTGCATTAAGAGGTTATTGCACAAATAACATATTAATACCTTTATTTTTTTCCTTTTGCTTTTACTGAATATCTGCCTATGCAAATAAAATTATGCGGACAATAAGATGCTTCATTTCTTCCCCTTTATCTAAGTAATAATATCAGTGATTTTAGTTGTTTGGATTTATCTAATGTTTGTGATATACTTTTTTAGATGTTATTTTCATCATCTAAAATTGATTGTCCCAATTTCACAGGGACACTGCTGGACAAGAGAGATTTAGGAGTCTCATTCCAAGCTACATCAGAGATTCCTCCGTTGCAGTGATTGTCTATGATGTTGCTAGTAAGTAATAGTCTTACTAAGGAAAAAGTGTTTCCTTAATTCAAAAGGATGAAAAGAATTGTTTTGGCTTACCTATGAATGAGGTAGAGCCTTGTATTTATAATGAAACAATATTACAAAATAGGAAACGAACAAAATAGGAAACGAAGATAAAAAATGTATGAAATCTGTGATTGACACAATCATAGATTTTTTACACGCTACCATAATTACAATATTACTATTTCTTAATTCCAACACTACCATAATTATAATATCATTATTTTCTAATTCCAACAAATTCTTCTAATATGTCTTCCCAATTTAATGCCATATGAATTCACTATGCATGAAATATGGGAAACTGATTCTTCCATGGCTCCACTTTTGTTTGTAAAGGCTTGATAAAGGGAAAAGGATTGAGTGTCTTGCAGAATCTTCAGTCTGCAGATTCTTCTCTTGTGATCAAGTAGACACAGTTGTGTATATATGTGCAAAAAATACGTTTGCACATTGATACACGCCTAACACTGTCCATATTATAGACATGAACATACCCATCTTTTTATGTGTTCTATAATTCATATTTCACAGTGCATGAAATATCCATATTTACCTATTGAGTATTCTTTTAATTTCAATTTGCATTGTGCGCTAAGACCTGTAGCCTTTAATTGCCATGCTAAATTTTCTCCATGCAGATCGACAATCTTTCCTGAACACTTCCAAGTGGATTGAGGAAGTACGTACAGAACGAGGCAGTGATGTCATTATTGTTCTTGTTGGGAATAAAACTGATCTTGTTGATAAAAGGTGAGGAATGGATTGATTTATTAAATATTTTCTATTTAACATCAAACCGTATCAATATGACATTTTTACCTTCTCTCTCCATATTAGATTACATTCATGAAAGCGGGCTGCAGAATCCTGCTTGCCTTTTCCATTTTTCATGTATCAAACTATGCTTTGGTCATCAAGTTCTCTTCTTTGGGACAGCTTAAACTTTGTTATTTCATTTTCAGCCTCATCTCCCTAGCTATTTCCTTTACTTCTCTTACAATTTTGCACTTCCTCTTGCACAAATTTCCAATAATAAAAGAAAAATAGGCTTCGCACATGCTGAGTACTACCAATGATTTTCAGACGAAGTATGGATACTAGTTTGTAGTTTTGCTTTTCCAATGTCTAAAAAAAATTCTAGTTTTCCTATTTGCATAGATTACGATAGCCAAAAATTTCTATATTTTACATTTATCTGTGTTTTTATCAAGAAGGAAAATGAATATCAGAGTTCTGCTTTTAGTGATCAGAGAGTTCTTTCTCAAATTATTCTGATGATCTTCTTCTTGTGATCAAACAGGCAAGTGTCAATTGAAGAAGGAGATGGAAAGGCTCGTGAATTTGGAGTCATGTTCATAGAAACCAGTGCAAAAGCAGGATTCAATATCAAGGTGGAGTGAGAGGCATTTATGCATTTTTCTTATAAATAAGCAAAATATCCAGAGTCTTTTAATACTGTAATACACAGTGATCACCAACGTTGACTTATGCAATACCCATTTCTTATCCTAGGACACTTCCTCATTGGCATGGTTAAATTATTCATAAAATGTCAATCATTGTGCATGATATCCTATTATGACGCAAATTTTATACTTTTTCCCCCCTTCCTCCTCCTTTGTTTTGCTTGCCCCACTTTTCTACCCTTGACATTTGGCATCATCTTAATTCTACTTATAATCTACAATTGCAGCCTCTGTTCCGAAAGATTGCTGCTGCCTTGCCAGGGATGGAAACCCTTTCCTCCACAAAACAGGAAGACATGGTTGATGTGAATTTGAAGCCTACTGTGAACACGTCTAACACAGAGCAGCAAGGGAGTGGTTGTGCATGCTAAAGAATGTATTTAGGAGGAGAGAGAGACATAGAGAAGCAGTTTAAATAGCCTAATAGCAAAATGGAATCACAAAGTATGAGACACTTCTGAAGTAATTGGAGATTGCAGCTATTTTGATGTTTGCTCTTCAATATGACAAGCATGATTTTGAAGATGGCTAATTTTGAAGTAATATGAATTGATGCTTGCTCTTCTATACAACAGCGATTGTTTCAAGTGTTTGGAGAGAGGAAGCTGCAATTTCTGCTTTAAGCTACTACAAGTTGTCAGTTTCCAGACGTGTTTTGTTAATTGTCCTCACTATTTATTCTCAGTTTTTTTTTTTCTTAAATGAAACCTTCATATGTTTGTATTTGATTTTGAATCTGTATTTTCAGGAATTGATTTTCAATAGATGATCCCTTCTAGTATTATTAGAGCATCTCCATCAAAATAGTAAAATATTTAGTAAATTTTAAGAGTCTATTTTTCTATTTTAGCTAACCATCTTTTCAAATACACTCTCCAAAAAACTCTTTAATCTTTATTTCATTTGTTGAGTTCTTTTCCTAGTTATATGTAGCTAGTGATTTGATATTCAACTAAAGTATCTAATCAATAATTGAGTTTGATGGAGTGTGTTTCTATGATTGTGTACTATAAAATAGCCAAGGGAAGTTCTAATGAACTTGATGACGATGCTCTTACATTTTGTAATAGCTGAATTTTTTATTTTTTTTATTTTTACAGGCTGTGCTTATTTTATCTGTTGGCCAACTTTGAGTTTCTGATCAGATTATCTGATTAGCGCAATCTTACATTGTGTTTGGGAACCTAGGAGAGAAAAGAAAAGAAATGATTACTTAAATAATAAGAAAAGAGAAAAGAAATGAAATGATTATGATTTCTCTTATTTTTATTTGGATAAAGAAGAAATAAAAGAAAAGAAAGGATTATGATTTCTCTCATTCTTGTTTGGTTAGATTTCATTAAGAGAAAAGAAAAGAAATTATTTTATATTATATTACCAAAATAACCTTTTTATATTTTTAATCATTTTATTTCTTTTATTTTTATAGGGACAAAATTAGTATTATGAAAACAGTGGTTTCTTTTCTCTCCTAATCTCTCCACTTTTAGGAAGATTGAAAATGAGGCTTATAAGAGAAATGAGTTTCTCTCCATTTCTCTCAATTTCTTTCCATTTCTCTCTACTTAGGTTATCCAAACAAATAAGAGAAATGCATATCTCTCCATTTCTTTTCTTTTCTCTCCAAATCACTCAATCCAAACATAGCGTTAAACTACATGCAGAGATCTTCCGGATCAAACATAAACTAGTCTGCATTAAGGGAGCCAAAGAATGAAAGCCATCATTTTGTTTGTTTTGGAACAATTGTCATTTGGGCAATGTGACAGTCAACGAAGCAAACCTTGGATTCTAGTCACCACCTACTGTTTTTGATCATCCTGTTTGCACTATCCAAAGGGTTTGAAAAGTGGCCATAGTCGGGGCACCCTTCTGACTTAACCCACCCAACCCTTCGCATGTAGTGAGCTAGAACCTTGAGAAGAAATCTAAAAAACAAATTCACTAAATACAAAAACAATAAAAATCATACATTTTCATTTTTTATTTAACAAAAAACAAATGAATAAATATTTTGCTTTTTAAGTATATTTAGATTAAGTACATTCAAAGAGAGTTACTATTATTAACCCTCAAATTATTTCTTAGAATCCCCACATTTTCAATTTTTTAAAATACAATTTTATCCTCAAATGAATTTATTTTATTTCAGTGTTGAAGCCTCCCACTAAAACATTCAGCATCTTCAACACACACCTATCTAATTTTTCTGGTTCACCTTTTTGTCTTCACTACTCACAAACTATCTTACAAACCATCGTTGCATGATTTACACATTATTTCGTAACATAAATGAGTAATCGAACATGAAATAATCAGCACAGAAGAGGATTGGCCTCAAGCGGTAAGTTTTTTGGAACAAATATTATTTATTTATTTATTTTTACATTTTGTACGTCTTTTGTTCGGTGTTGGACTACCAAAAGACGATTCTAATATGGTTATAATGATTGTTAATGTATGATATTTTTCAAATAATGCTTCAACTAGATATATTGAGGCTTATTTTGATTTTGTCATTGATTATACTAAAGAATTTGTCGCCCATTTTAGTTTTTAACTCGCATAAAAATTATTGGCTTCGTAGATTATTATTTTTGTGCATTATGAATTATTGATTTACTTAAATACAAATTTGCAGATATTCAAAAATCGAGAGGCTTTAATTGGATGGACTCAGAAAGTTGGCAAGAGAAATGATTTGTTATCGTGCGTAAAGAATCTAATGTTGACGATGGGTGTTATGGGCGGAACGTCTCCTAGATGCTATTGGTTAAATGTGAGACATGCCGGTCATATCTGACATGGGTAAGTTTATAAAGATTATAACTCACCATTCATGACTCAATACATAACTCAAATGCTAAAACCCAGCACTGCTGAAGTTCCATGTAGCAATAAGAACCAATGACACCAAGACAAGTGGCGAGAGAAGGGCAAGCCACATCAGCAGACAAAGATCTGCAAAGTTATTACCACGTTATATCGCCATTAATGAGGCCGCTTATAGCAATTATTGCGATAACCCCTCTCCGTTGGAACAGAACGCCTTCACCATGAACAAGGTAAGCTAGAGCATAGACTTTCGGCCAAGGTGACGGGTCGGAAGGGACAACGAAATGATTACCAGAGAATATAAGCAAAGGTCGAAGACAGAAAGAAGGTTAAGCTTTTTATCTCTAATCCATCACTATACTCCACTTCTCTTTCTGACTTGCTTGTCGGAGGATTCATTGGGGGACTCCCCGTTCCCCGTTGAACTCGTGTGCAGGTCTTCCGGTGGGCTTGGTCATTCGGACGAAGGATTGAGGAGCGTGGATCAGTCCGACCCGTTCCGCCTAGAACGAACTGTATCATCAGTTGGCGCCGTCTGTGGGAACTCTCTTACTCCGCGCGCCAGTTGTGCACATTGTCGCCGGAGGCCCTTTCCCAATAACCCTTTCCTACCACATGCCAATGTTCCTGACCACCAAGCTGACCCTCCCAATCCAAACAACCCACCACAGTATTTCACCGAGCTCGCCAACAGCATTAACCTCCTGGCTGAGCAAAACCAAGCCCTGATTAATGCTCTACTCCAAAGAAACCTTTCTATGCCTCCTCTACCACCTCCAGATATCCCACCCAACCAAGAGTAAGCCCCAAGCCATACTATCCAACAGCCTAATCCACCCAACTTGGAAGGCTTGCGACCCCCTCCCCCAGATATAAATCCACCGCCTCGAGCGCCACATCCATCGGTCCTGGCACCAACCCCTGAAGGAGAGGCCAGCAGCGTCCAGCCCCCGCTACCCTCCGGTGGTGATAACATTCCTCTCTGTGATGCAGAACTTCGAGCCATGAAGCTCCAACTCCAAGGAGTCATGCAGAACATACAGCATAAACCCTCCACCACAGCCAACTCACCATTCGTCGTCTCTATCCGGGACAAACCTCTACCCCCCAAGTTCAAAATGCCCATCATCGACTCTTTTGACGGTACGACAGATCTAGCCGACCACTTGGAGACCTACAGAACCCTCATGATCCTCCATGCATTCCCTGACGAAATCATGTGTCGGGCTTTCCCCGTGACACTCAAGGGGTCAGCTCGACTTTGGTTTAGTCAATTGCCAGCAGACTCTGTCTCCACTTTCTAGCACCTCAGTGACTCCTTCCTCAGCCATTTCATTGGAGCCCAACGCCAGCGACATCCGGCAACTCAACGTCAGACCGAGGGGGAGTCGCTGCACAGTTTCGTTACCCGCTTCAACACCAAAGCCTAACAGGTAGCGGAAAACGATGACAAGGTCATCCTTACGGCTTTCATGGCCGGTCTGTGGTCGTCTGACTTCCTTTTCTCCCTCTCTAAAAACCCCCCGACCTCCATGGCAACCCTATTCTCTAAAGCTCAAAAATACATGAAAGCCGAATATTCCCTAGCCGCCCGACAAGATCCTATAGCCAAAAACTCGACCCCTAGAGAGAAGAGAAAGGATGCAGAAACCAGAAATACCCAGTATAATAACCCAACAAGTCAGTATACCGACCGACACCCCCGAGCCGACCGGTCGGCACCAACCCGACCGCTCGGCCGGTTCGAGTGCTACACCCCCCTCAATTCCCCTATGGAACAAGTCCTCAATCAGATCCAGCGGGATTATCCCCTAAAATGGCCCCAACCATCACGGACCCATTCCAATCGGAGAGACCAGTCCAAATATTGCCGTTTTCACCAGGACCACGGCCATAATACCGAGGAGTGTGTTAACCTCAAAGATCAGGTCGAGGGCTTGATTTGTTAAGGACGTCTCAGTCGGTTCACGGATACTCGCCCTCAGCAGCGGCAACGGACTGAACCCATTAGAAACAACCGCCGGCGTACCCCTCCCCGACAACCAGCACAGCCTAACCAAGGTCATGATCGCCCTCCACAGCAACCTCGGGCACAAGGTAACCCTGCCCCACCTGTTGAAGAAATCAGAGTTATCTCCGGCGGGCTTGCTTGTGGAGGACCATCCCGCTCGGCTCAGCGGGCAGAACTCAGAAAAATAAGGCAGGGCTCAGACAAAGAAGTTGCCACATTGGATCGACCCCCCAAACAGCCCAGGTAGTGGACCGAGCCTATCACCTTTACGAACGTCGACTGCACAGGCATCCGTTACCTCCATGACGACCCTCTTGTCATTTCTGCCCTTCTCTCCAATTACAAGGTCAGACGGGTTCTCGTCGACAACGACAGTTCTTCAAACATCATCTTCCTCAATTGCTTCCCCTAGCTTAAGATCGGGAAGGAAAGTCTGTCTCATCTCCAAACCCCTTTGGTCGGTTTCACTGGCGACCGGGTGACTTCCATCGGCTCCATCGATCTTCCCATCACAATCGGCGAGTACCCGCGACAGACCACAAAGTTGCTTACCTTCCTTGTTGTTGATTGCCCCTCTGCCTACAATATCATCCTTGGCCGCACTGCCCTAAATGCTTTCCAAGCTATCACATCCACCTACCACCTTGCCATCAAGTTCCCCACCGATCTTGGGGCCGGGACATTGAGGGAAGAGCAGACCGTGGCCAGAGAATGTTATGTCGCCTCACTTAAAGAAGTCAAGCTAAAGGAGGCTATGATCATTGAAGGACTCGACGTCAGAGACGAGGACGAACTGGTTAGGGGGGAACCAGTGGAGGAACTTGTCGAGGTCCTCATCAATCCCAACAACCCGGCCAAAATCGCCAAGATTAGCAGCCACCTATCCCCCCAGGCCAAGGCCGACCTCACCGCCCCCCTGATTGAACACAACGATGTGTTTG